GTAGCTAAGAAAAGCGTGGCCGACGTTTGCCAGGCTAGCTTGGATAGCTGCCTAAAATGGTAAGGTGCGCTATATTAATGTTAGATCCCCTGGCGTTAATGGTATGTGCAGATGTGCAGGCTATAGTACGTCATAATTTGATGAAAAGTTTCCGCTTGTTTTGCTACGGCTGGCGGTAGCGATAGCGTATCAAATAGTGATCATCCAATAGGATCCTGCAAAACGTGTAATTTTTCATGTTCCAAATATTCCAGACACTGAACGGAAATTGACCACTTGTGTTTTTTTGGTATTTTTGGTTACGTGGAGAGGTACACACATATGGCAAATTTGAGTTGATTAAAAACTTTCACCGTACCAAAACTAATAAGAGACATGAGAGCACCTAAAAAAAACATATATATAAATTTTTAGTAATAAAAATAATTTAATCGATTTTGTGGCGTGAGCATTCTAAGTCGTGTTAAACTGAGAGCTTTTTTGCAGCAGGATTTATTACGCCATCGTCATCTTCGATTCCTACCAAGATTTTTTTTCAAACAAGCGAATAAAAATCATTTTTCAGATCCTCTTGGGCGCAGGACATGTTCCGTTCATATAGATAGGACCAACTTCGTTAAAATTCATGTCGTCAATTATGAAAAACCCTGTTTTCCATGGAGCGGTCCTTTTCTACTATATCTATTATACACATTAGGACCCATGTAGAACATTTGATTGTCTCACCATACCTTTATATATAGGCACGTTAAGGAATCAGCCGAAACTATCAAAGGCCTGGTATGGACCATCGGCGACATAATTGCGAACAACACATTCAAAATGGGCCGAGTAAGAGGCAGGCCAAACTGTAAATGTTGCGCCACTTTTGTCTTGAGCTCATTGCGACACTACTTACTTTGATAATAGACCCGGAGTTGTTATATTATATAATTGAAAATTATCCGCGAAATCATAATTCAACTTTTTAAGCCTGACATTTTGTTGTTGTTGCTTTCCTGCATGTCACAATCCGATGTTGCCTTGTAAGTTATGATTATCCTAAGATTTCCGTTCTTACCGGCCTTAAAGCTTTCCGACCATGGCTTGATTTATTGAGATATATAAAAGCTACCAGATAAAAACTTTATCAAATAGAGTAATCGTACGTATGTATGATGTGGTATTTTATCCTGGTACAGATTGGCATCTATCGCACAGCTAATCAGCTTGTCGGCTAGCATCTTGCCATATAAATTGCTAAGATCCTCTTTCAACTTTAGGAGGTTTTAGCGCACTCGATGGGGCGTGCTGATGCCGCCAGAATTCCGCTTACGTTTTGTATGGCTCCTAAAAAAGATTTCCAACCCAAGCATTTCAAATGAAAAAATAAGTTCAGTGTACTTATTATTCAATATTTACATCATTCGAAGCGACCCTTTCTCTCCGGGGACGATCAAGACCTCGGATGACAAACAGTTAGTTAATTGGCTAACATGATGGGTTGCAAATGCTAGACTACTATATTAGAAATGTTAAATCTACCTGATGTCATTAGGAATCTGGACGTCGTAATAACAGTATAAGTGAAGAGCACAAAAAACAAGTACCGCTGACTTCGTAACAACTTTCCCATAACTAAACGCCACAAAGCCACAATGACACACCCCTACACAGAATCCTGTTATGAATGGCGAGACGTGGAATTACTGGTCATAAACTGACAGCTGCTACTAACATTATATAGATATACGATTCGATGATGGTTAATTCTGACGAAGACAGCTCACGTGCTATCTTGTTGAATTGAAAATTTCTGTCTGTATAACACAAAACGGATCAAATAATTGTTGGTTTAGAGTCGTAGAGAAAAAGCTATAAGGTTTAAGGGAAACATAAAGATATCAATACGTTTTCCTGACCTAGCCTATATTTCAGGCTTATGTGTTGGACAAATTTGTTTAATTTAAATAAATAGATGTGAAATTAGAGCTGACAATCGTGAGATATTTAGATCGGCAAGTCTTCCCCTTAACAGCTTCTAGACGCTGGAATTTGATTTGGGGTAACTGCAACAGGTTATAGTATCCTTCAGCAGAAAAGTTCTGCTATAGTAAACTGAAAGCAAGTAGGAGCAATCATCTCCTTTAAAATGAAAAAGCTTCGCGAATTCGCAAGGTGAGTACTTTCGAACAACCAGTGCTGTTTTTAGAATTACTTCAAATTCTCTAACGAAGCTAGCTGCTTTCTCGTTAAAGATCGAGAATAGTATCATTGTGTTTTCGTGTGTGCGGAAAGTTCGCAAAGAAAATAGTTGATAATTGTCATTAGTATAACGTCTATTATGTTTACATTACATACATACCATGCGTATTGTTCTACGCAAACGACGACCCATTATTCGAAATTATTCTTGTTACAATGCTGCCTATGGAATTTTCTTAACGCTGAACTACTTTATTTATCTCCTTTACCAGCTGCTTCTTTAAGCATATCGTCATCTATTGTGGGGACGCTAACAGCACTAGCAGCGGCAACGGATTAGCTCTCCGCAACTTTCGACTATGGGTGCCTGCAGGTCCACATTGAAGATTCGCTAGTATAGTATGTTATATTACACGGTAAAAGTTCGGTCCTCCTTAATGAAACATATTGAGAAGCAAGACAGTGTTATGGATTGTCATAACGGGAGTTGGAGGGAAGGTGCTGAGAAATGTGAGTGGTCAATTCTGATGTCACCAGAGGTGAGCCTTACGTGTTCGCTATTTCTCATGGGAAACTTTTACAATTAGTACTCGCGTTAGCAGGGTACACCAGATCTGGTGGACCTGCGAAACTCGGACAACAAAACACTACAACAGTCAATTATAACAAAAGGGTCTGAATAGCACGAAGTAAATGGTACTGCTGCAACCAGTAGGGCCAAAAGCAATGGCAGCATAGTTAAGAAAAAAACAGTCACAGCAGTGGGCAAAAGCAATATAGTAGGGGGCACTGGTTCATGCCAACCGAACAATTAGAAAAAAGGTACAGATCGTTTTTAAAGGTCCATCTATAGAGGTCGCGAAACTTTTCCGCTACGCTCGCTAGGCCGGCCCGTCGGTGCGCGGCCTGTGTATAGAAGTTGCGTTTCCTCGTATTACCCAACAACCAGAACTTAAAATTTCCGAATCACTTCTGTCTACGCCTACAACCGGACGGCAGCTACCAGCAAGACAAACAACCATGCCAAAGGGTAAACGATTCTTGAAATGCAACAGAAAACGGCTAGTCGTTCGTAATCGCTTAATTTCCCACTAGAAGCCTGGCAGACGTACAGGTCAGAGTTTATATTTTTTTCTCAGAGCTGGCGAAGTCTAATAAAGGGCAGCTTGGTAGTATTAGTGTAATATATATTTAGTTTTATGCACTAATCGCGTATTGGCCATAATACAGAGGAACGCTAGGTTCTCCTTCACACTCTGATGCACAAACATACCGCTAAGGCTACCCATCCATAACTGTGCCGAGCTGTCTTCGATCCTATATAATAATAATAATATATTACATAGAATCGTTTAGCTGCAAAAGCGAGGGGGCAGAAACGCCTCCGTCAATTTGATCTAATTTAATGTGCGCACGACGTAATGCACGAGACGCTGCCAGCGGAAGTTGGAATTATATGAATTGTAATCAATAGATTTAATATCGGTTTAACTGATGGCTTAGGAAAAACGTCGTAGGTTGAGTTTTTATACATTAAAACGTCAAATAACTAACGAAAATGATGTTACTGTTTTGGGCCAGTGGAAATTGACTTAATATACAATCACTTGAATTACTACAAAGATTAGTTATTATATATATATATATATATTATTAATACTACAGGGTAATTCATCCGATTAACACTCGACAAAAAATATACTTTCGGTCTATCACGCTACAGCTAAAATGTAGAACGATCATTTTGACTGTAATTTAGGCTGTGTTTCGTTGAAGATATGCTACTTCAAGTCAGATGCCTCATAAAACTTTAAGTGCCCGTTTTTTTGTTTCACTTGCGTACTACTTATGAGCGCTTTCAATGTATCCACGTAACTCGGTCTTCGGGCGTCATTTTCCAAGTTATGAGATTACAAAATTATGGTTTTAGGCTGAAATAGCAGGTCTGCTGCGCCGTCAACAAGTTTTTTCAGTAAAAAAATTAATATTTAATAAGAACGAACAAATTGAGTAGCACAGCTCCGGTGGATAATTAGTTGTAGCATTCAGCCTTAGTCTGAGGATTTCGAACGTTTAGCATGATGTAACAATTCTTCTTTACCAACGAGCTTTTACATTTAATAAAGGATTTGCCAAATGGTTTTACGACTAACCAAATAAATAAGAGGTAAAAAATTATTTCACGTGTCAAGCATACAGGTATATGTCGTTTGTCAACGGTAGTAGCTTGTGCTAATAACATTGCCTAAACCAACAAATAAAGTACGAGGAATCGACAATCGCCCCAGCCGAAACTTCCGGATCCTTCAACGGTGACCTCTTTTAGGGCACCAAGAGCCACCCAAGCATTTCGCGGCATAAACATTCATGGATTGACGTTCAGTTCCTTCTTGGCTGTGTTCATCTCAACAAGCAGTATTTTCTCACTTCTATTTTAATAGACACATCATTCAGTGGTATTAGAAGGCTGTTATCCGGCAGCTGAATAGCCCCCACCCTGGCCTTGTTGCCCTCCTGTAGCAGTGCCCTCCTTCAAATAGTAACTGCGGTTCTAGACGCAGGCGCCATTATTGACGATAAACGCCAATGGCTTTACAGTAGAATTAAAACATTAGTTAAACAGCGAAGTAGAACTATTTTTAAAATATCGGATGATATTGACAAAGTATGGTACAGTCGTTCTTCACGAATTTGATTGCGCCGAAGGTAAACAAAACGCGAATCGATAGAATTAGAATTGCTTTTTATTTTCATAGTGGATATATGGGTAACACAGCCTTGTCTAAATGGCCTTCCACAAGTAAATGTATAGGACGTACGCGAAAGCTAGTACACAAAAGTCTTCCTTCGAAGGGTCGAATGAGTTCTTCCTTTACCACTTTCGAACCCACTAGTTCGATAGCGCCGTTTGGTGGCATAGCTTCTAATAAAATTATCATTAGTCATATGAACTCTTTTGCGATTTTTCCTTCGCGTCTGGCGGCAATGGCGAAGCGTGATTTGTCACCCCAAAAGCACTGTCTGTATAAACCTAACGGATTCAATGAACACAAGTTGTTTATTTCTGAATTTTAAAGTTGTTGGAAGCCTCACATCACAGACACGTCAGGCGATTAAGGGAAACTAGGTGAATACTTAAACAATATTAGGAAATAGCGCCTTAAGATTTTCCTGCTTGAACAGATTTCTTGCGATAATTTAAGACCATGATATTTGAACGCCATATAATAACATTGGATGAACTGCATTTTGCAGAAGGACAACTTTATACCATTTTAATTGCGGTCCTGATAATAAAAAGTCTTCTATCTAAAACTTTGCTGTCACAATCAATATGTATGTCCACAGAAACTCCGAAATCACATGACTCATAATTATATGTTAAAACTCTAAGCAGTATGTTACCTTCATTGATGTACAATAAATATACTGGTAACGTATATACATCTAGAAATATTTTTTCATATTAATAAATGTTCGCGCTTCCAGAATAATCATTAGAAAGCTCTCTAGGAAGCTGTTTTATATTTTCAGCAGAATTTTCTACCGTAAACTAGAAAAGCGTAAGGAACTGCCTAATCCATTTAGATGATTTAATGACGTATTCATTGTAAGTTATTGCTAGCCTTAACTTAGGGCCACTACAATCACTGGATCATACATCTCGCATGAGTGAAAAATATCTAGACGACGGATTTCATACATTGCTATCCTCCGTATGAAGCCTTATATCTGTACGTGTTTAGTGGAAATTAACTACTCTGTCCTATGTGGACCGTGTATGGTCTGCAGTTGTGGTGCTGGCTATAACAAGATGGTTCGCATATTTAATATCTAGTAGCAGACGTTCAACGTTTTCCTCGTGTCCAAATCTCATTCATTATGATCCCGTCAGCGGTCGTGAGTCATCCATCGAGGAAGGCGGCCATGAGTGGGACTCACTGAGTTCGCCCAAGCCTTCCTGCGCAGAGAAAATAGGACGGCCCAAAAAGGGGCAAGGAGGAGAAGTATTTGGACAGTGGTAAGTATTAAAAGAGCTGTGCTTCGTAGCTCTCGAGACTTAGAGAGAATGCTTTATAGTATCCCCAATGGCCACTGGGATGTAAGTGTTGTGGATTGTGGTAAAGAGCTTAGCGAAAGGCGAACTATACCAAAGAAACATGTTCATAGTTACTGTCTTTAAAATGCTAGCTTGTCACCGTCATAATAATAATCATTATCATCAGAACATAAAACCATGCCAATATGCCTTTTATGCTCGAATATCCTAGATGCTACCTATTCATAAATATGTATATGCAAGTCAAAATCTTGAGATACCCAAGTGTAGCGAAGCTACTTTCTCGACTCACCGCATCTTCTTTATGCAAATCATTTAGTGAAGCTTATTATCCGCTGAAGATGTACAACCAGCCGTAATTATGAAACTTCCATTGAATACATGGTGCTGCTTATTACTTTGTATTGTGATGTATGGGATTTAAGCTTTCAAGAGAACCAGTACTCAATACATTGCAACTTAGACAGATGAATCTTCTCGTGCGCAATTTATTTACCACTTGAATACATTTTTACCTGGCGTGTTAGTTCGCAAGGTACCTTCAAAGTCGCGACTCTTATGGTTTATCAGACAAAAATAGTTTGGGCCACAGACACGCAAGAGACATTTAAGTTGATTATTGCTATAGAGGTTCTATAGATTAAGATTTAAGTTAGCTTATTGCAGGACCCATATTGGATTAGACATATTTTACCTAGAAATATATGCAAATCCTGAGCGTACCACTGTCATCTACCTTCGCTTATATCTTCGCATTCTTAAATTCAGCTTCGATATTAGTTTCACCTATTTAAGATCTAACGTGGCAACTCAATGATATATAAGCAAGACTCAAAGCAAGAAGACCCATACTTGATCGTATATGCAGTAGTGTCTTGAGCTTTAGCGAACAACCGGCCAACCATTTATGTTCACCTGATATGTATGTATATATTTCGATCACCCCGATTGAGGAGGTCTTGCAGGCCTGTGCAGGGTAACCACCTACAGCTACATGTTGAAAGATAATTTTTAGTGTCAATTCGCGAGGGGCGAGTCAACACCCCTTTCCTATACATTCCCCCTTTGCTCTGGAAAAGAAATGCGACCGAGCGCATTTTATGTAACTGCGAAAATGCCCGTATTCAGTCCATATCAGTTTATAAGTCGGAAATGTACACATATAAACTATTTTGTTTGCTGCATTATACGCTACGCGACGGGCCACCAGAACGGTGCTTGGAATCGCGTTATATAAGCTAAAGTCTTAGCACAAGCGCGCAATAAGATGTGTGGAGAATGCGTACATAATGGTCTTTCTAGAGGAATAGCTTAACGTGTAAGTTAACCCAGACGGACAAAATGTACCATCGATTGAAGTTTCAGTTAACGTAGCTATAAGTGTTTTTAGAAACACCCCGTATTCGACAATTGTAGTTGATTGCTTCTACTAAATACAGATCTTCTATATACTGACATACAAATATAGTGAGTTCGGTTCCTTTGAAAAAACTCTACTAAAAACCAGCGCATAGTCTATTTTCCAGCTGGTTCCATCTTCTGTCATTTGTGACACCCATACGAAACACGAACAGGTACGATATACATTCTGTTGACGCAAAAATTCTGGGAAAATTTCGAATTAAAAGCGTACGATGAGAATATTATAGACAAAAGTCTTCAGGTTTATCGTAACCGTAACTTCAACGAAGGTGGGTGGAAAAATGAGTATGCATAATATCGTATACAAGCAATAAACAAAAGCATGATGTAAGCGCATACAAGATAAACTCGATCAGTACGTTTCCGTTCTGAAATCAACTACGGTATTATAATTCGCTTTTGCCAACGATAAGCATAATAAAGTAGGGTAAAAACGAGCCACAGATATAGCGTACCAACGAACGCCTGAGTGAATTCAAAAAGACGTCTCCTTAAAAGCATTCGACCGTTTTTTGCGACCTTGTACATTATGCAGGCTTTTAGGAAAGTGGCACGGGATGACTCTAAAGCTCAACGATATGGTAAACTTTCGCGACAAAAAGTGCAAAAATCAATGAAGAAATTAATACAGACATCCTGATACCAGCGCAACGCGCATGTTTTTTTAATTAGGTCCTATAGAACTCAGTATAACACATTTGCCACACGGTGTCCATCTAGATGATTTAAAAGTCACATATCTGGGAAAATATCAGGGTGGCTAATGCCATTTGAAAGCTGAGATTCAACAGCAGATGGCGAAAACTATTGGAATGGCCTTATTTAGCCTTGAGCTAAAATAGAACGTGTGAGAGATTTCTGCGAAGCTAAATGTATTTCAAAATTTGATTACGACAAAGGCCTAAATCCATAGAGCGATGTATGCTGTTTACGGTCAAGACACGTTATTGTAAGAACGGCCTCCAAGATGGGTGTGTCGCTATCGTCCCCTGTGAATTTCGACATGAAAAATCCCCTCATGACGATCGACCAATTAGGGAAAAAGTTCATGAAATTATCGCGGAACATAAGCAAGACCAGTCATTTGAAAAAGCCGGTTAGAAATAAAAGATTTTCGAGCTTTGCCAGTAGATTTCGTACAGTCGAAAAGGCAAATTGCTGCCGTTCTTGACGGAGCCAAGCGATGATATGAGATAAAGCATTGGACCATGTGAAATTCTATATTACATTATAATTAGTAGGGCAAAAAAATACGTATCAAGAGTTGAATGCAGTACAAAGCTGTTGAGTTCCCTAAAAATTAGCCATGGGCGTGATACATCTCATATAGCTTTGATAACTAAAGATAATAATTTTATCGCTATTTTTTACGTTATCAAATCTCAAAATATCGCGTGAACCCTTTACAGTAGATGACAATATTCTACAATAAGTAAATTAAACACTAAATTAAGCAAATTGAAAGTTATCTATGGTGCCTAAAATATATAATCAGCTGGTGTAGTATCCGTGATAGAACACGCATCAATTGCCTAATGTCAAATAACGTAAGGCAGATGTTCAACTAGACGCTGTCGAGCGCGCATATGTCCTTATCAGCTGTCACCTACTTATTTTTAGAAAGCGCACTCGGCCGAGAACCTTTTGTACTTACGCCGAACTCATAGAAAGAACAGATATGCTTTTTTCTATATGATATTACAAAAGTTAGTCTGAAACTCAAGCACAAAGTAATAATTTGGTGTTCTTAAATTTAGCCAGCTTCCTATGAAAGCCGGCATACGTATGTCTGCGTTCCATCAAACGACGGGTAACCGTCTCTGCATAAAGACCACAATTTCACAGTTTCTGCCCAACCTCGTATACCGCCTATTTAAAGACACATTGTGCGAGGGCATTTGAAATTATGCACGAGTTCGGATTTCCCCTGAACGGTACCTGTTCTGCATTAAATAGCATCAGTACTCATTAAAACTGATGGCCGGTCGACTGACGGAATATCTGTGACGCACTTGAATAGATGCGTAGAGGTACGAAAAATCTCTAATTCTCAAACTAAAGTCGTTTGAAACGGCTGTTAAAGACAAACGTTACATTACAAAGCTTCCGAAGCATTAAGGCCGTACTATGCTAATAAAAGATAACGTATGAGTTCATATAAGGTCAAGCTATCATACACGGACATAGCTGGGTAAATATAGAACACATACCAAATATTACACAGACATCGGCCAGCTACAGGATAGCAAAGATAAACTGTCTATAACGTTTGCCGAAATATTCGACATATATCAAAGGTGAAGTCTGAAATGAAGTATTTTACCTAAGCTCTTCAACGTGGTTATTTAAGGAATGCGCTTTTCGAGTCCCATCTGCTCATGAGACCTTTTCACTCGTTATCAAATACGTTATGGGCACTTTTTGATGAACTCTGTTCTGATTCGGTTTGGTACGCGCTACCCGGGTGACTGAACCCTTCAGATTCTTCACTTGTCCTTTAATACGTTCATACACTTTCTTCCTTTTGCTTATTTTATCAATTTACTTTTATTTTGTAGTTTTCTGGTATGTATTGTATCCGTAACACTACGCAGTCTTGCTGTTTCTGTTTATAATATTTTAGTAGTTTCAATAGGATAGCGCAAACACATGTTTCCTCAGGTTATGTTGCCAACGACGTTTTTTTCCTTCTAGATAGACTCTCTTACGACCGACTATAAATATTCCTCTATTAAGCGGTCTCTTATCGTGTACCACTAATGTGGACGAACGGGAAGGAAGAGATGAATGTGCCATAAACTTACTCGTCTATCTCAGACTGGAACATAAGTGGCTTGCTGCAATAATAACACTGATGCCATCCTCATTGTCGCTATTGTTTTCAATATCGTAAAAAAACTCCCCATAGCGCAAGGTGAAATGGGGCAACCATACTGCCGTCAGCTGAGGAACTATTCCCAGATGCCCCGTGAATCTTGCCTCTAAACCAACTTAGTGAACACGTCTACGGCTATAGTGACGCAACAGGCGTAAGCCGGCTGGAAGTAAAGACATACACGGAAGACGTTGGCGGAATGAACCTCCTGCAGTTAGATATAACTGAATAACCAATGAAATAGCAGAGCTCAATGGTAGTCGGTCTCCTCTAGCCTCACCCTCGCATTTCAATCCGCTGCCCTTTGGGGACAGCACAACTCATCGAATGACAGCCAGCTAGCCCCTAGATTCGGCCATCGCAGTTGTGCGGCGACAAGTGGGTGTATTAAGAGAGTCGCAGGAGGACAACTAGACCACGGTAATTCATCTTTCTCAAACGAGAGGCCCGATATGAACAGACAAAGATGACGAGAAACACTGAATGTGTCGGAAACACTTCCTGTGTGATCCGGCTCAAAGCCTCGATCTGCTGAAGCCTTAACTTACTGTCTCCGGCTGCCCACGTAATTCCCAATTGCCTTGCATCCTCTGTCGCTAAACTTAGCCCAGGAGGGTATAGAGAGAGTATGAATTTCGTAGGCAGCAAGGACGTCCGGAGGAGGGAGTTACATCAATTATGTGGCTATATGTAACTACACGCGCGAAGTCGGCCGCACTAAAGGAAGTGTACAGACGGTGACGGAAAACTACAAACAACATCGACGTGTAGTATAGTCTATGCTAAACAACAGACCACAGTTTTCTGCTGTGATTGGTGTTATTAGGTTATCGTCTAATCGGGATGTAGTGCGCAAAAATTTACTTTACTTTTTTGCAAAAAAATTGCAAAAATGTAAAGATTACTGTCGATCAAATTTTGTGTACTCGCCTTTGTTGTACTCAAAAATTCCGTAAGTAGAGGTCAACAACACAATATTTCAATATCAGAAAGAAAGAGAGCATATGGAACCATTGAAAACATTTTGAGTCCCGTTAAGTTCATGAAAGTGATTTGAGAAATTTCCTAGATGTCCTTAAAAATGGTACTAAAGGGCAACGAGCGGCATGATGTCTGTCCCAATTGTCCGCATTTGGAGCACCTAGATGCGTTGTTAGACTGATAAAAGCCTGGTTTTCTGCATGATCTATCGTTGAACTTATGCATGGCAGAACAAGTTACATCTCTGTTCTTTCCATTCGTTGTTCTTCATCTCACCCCGAAGCAAAAAAAAGCAAACTTTTATCAAACTTCGCAAACTTTTGCTACGAGTTTTTAAAGGTTGTCGTAAAATTTTGCTCTCCTCTCCAAACGATGATGTAGGTCCTCAAACACCAGTGGCGAGACGATTGGACCACATATAGTAAGCGCGGCTTTGTTGTTTGAGGTTCTCCAGAGTAAAATCCTCCCAGTTGACTCGTAATAATAATAAGCTAACGGCGGTTGCGGAGGCAAACAATGACGTGATTTGATTCCTATGAGGTCAACACTGCTTTCCTGCATCTCTCAGTGATGTGCGCAACAAAGATTCTGTCGTTTGCATAAAAGAGCAACCTCATGTACGGAAACCGGTGTAATTAGGCCAAAAGTACCCTGGCGAGGTATAAGGTGTCACTTACTCTTATCCTGCCGCCTCTTATAACCCTTGTCGCCTCTGTCTTAGCCAAGCTTTGCGGTCAATCCTACACCTGTTACTTAGGCGAAGAGCTGGGCTAAAGCTGGAGCATAAAAGTCGTATATCAGGATGACTTCGACTGATTTCCTCGGCCGTCTCTTGATCAGAGAGTCCTTTCAGTAAAGTGGAGAATAAGAATAGGTTTAAGTTGTTCCCTCGAGCCAGACCAGTTGTCTGTGTGAAAAGCGAAAGTTCGACCGCTCGCTCCTCCGTCGATGGTTATTCTATTCTCTTGTAAAATCGAAGCGATAAAGTTGGACACATGCGTGAAGATACCTACTTTGATCAACGTGAGGATACTCTATATCTGGGCGCCGCCTCGAAAGCTGTCCTAAAGTCGACGAGCACCGCGTATAGCAGATTTCGCGGTGTGGCCAATGCTCTTTTGACGTTGACTATTGACATCCTGCTCGCCGTTTCTGCGAAGCGTTGTCTCTGGAACCTATGTTTCTCCATTCATAGCTGTTCAGCCTCTAAGTCAGCAGGCCAAAGAGAGCATTTTTCGCAATCTTCAGCCATGATAACGGTGCAACTGGATTGCCCTTTTCAGTAGAGATCACGAACGGGGTATCGTATCTCCACTGCCTTGGGAGTGCGCCAGTATGTAAACATTTTTTACTATAGTGTTGTTGACCATGGTGCCAGACCGACAATGCATTTTCGATCTCTGTTACAGGCCCCCTTTGAACCAGGAAATTTTTTGTCGTGTAAGCTCTCAAGACCTTGTATCTGTTCCCGCATTGTTAAGTCTTGTCGAAGGATAATAGCGTTATATTGAGATCCCCTATTTTCACGCTGCGGCAAGTTAGAGCACGCGCGTAATATTGTATCCTTTAATGTAAATATCTCTGGGAAGTAATTTGAGGCTCGAGGGGCTAGATAATTAGGTAAGCGGCCAAGTTGCTGTGGTACGTTACCACTCGTAAGGTTGACGTCCTGCATTGGTGATTAAATGGGTATCCAGCCATTCAGACTACTGCTGCTTCTGTGATCGCACGTTTTTTGACAAGCTGCCTGTCTTATGGTTGCAGACGACGGAGATGCCTCCACTAGCGCGGTCTGGTCGGTTGCTCTTCAGTGCAAAAATTAAAATCATGGTAATTTACAAGGACTAATTTCCCAAGTTTTCGTTAGCACGACGATATTTGTACTGTCAACAGCTTTCGAGAGCGTCACAACTGGAACCCCCTCACAGTTCCACCGTATAATTTTTAATGTCTCCTTAGGGAGTGGCTTCGCTACAAATCTCGTGATCGTTTTCGTGGGCGGCTGTAGATTACCACCAACTAGACGACAATGACGAATATTGCTAGTGAGTTTCATGTTATGGGACTGTGCAGCCGTACCCAAAGGTCTGCTCGGGACAGCCACGTATGCTGTCGGTGCTGATTTGATGTTTTATGCTAAGCATTCTAAGTCCTAGAATGATTTATTGGTAATGGCCAGATAGTACGTCAAGGTAAGCTACTTTCGACGAAATACCATTCCTGATGTGCTAGACATTTAACTATATTGGTATTAGCTTATACAAATGAAAAACCTGTCGGTTTTGGTCTCGGGTGTCGCTTTGTGGCTCAAAATCGTTGCAACGATCTAGAACAATGTACATCAAAAGCAAGGTAGCTTGATCTATATTTTTCACGTTGCTTTTTTTGGGCTCAAAAAAAAAAAGCACAGATTTCACCACTAAAATCTGACCAGCGCAACCACCACACGGAATAGCAACGTTTTGTAACTGTTTGTAAGATGTGAAGCAAGGTTCGCTTATAATTATATAGTTATAAATTGACACCAAATAAACTAGTGTAAATATGTTTGCGTATAACGAATATTAGCGTTTACTTGTATATAACATGTTACAACGCTGATCACGCACGTTCGATGACAAAGGACACCTACGTGTCCAATACAATTTATACATTAATGTATAACTTAGATAGTTTAGAAATTGGAAAGTTGTACACAAAAGCGGCTTTTTCGAAATGTGGTGCTTTATCAGTTCTTCCACTTGTTGAACTGCTAAGATATCGGACACTAGGAATAATTTTAGACGCGACGTCAGTCGGCGATACTCCAACGATTCCAAGTATACTTATGTTGTAGCTGACTAATAAGTAGTTAATCTCGAAGTTGACTGACTCACCCTACTTATACCTTCTAGTTACTAGTCCACCGCGCAGAAATTTTTACAGAAATTACCGCACACATTATTTGTGCGGCATGTTTGTCTTCAACGTGAAGTTTCTACTCAATCTCTTCGCTGAACAGTTGCGATTACCTGGCAAGTACGAATGGGGCATCTCTTGCAAACAACATTCGAGTGATAGCCAACATAACCACATGGGCTCATACAAAGAAACAGCTGATTGACTCAGCTTGTTCAACTTTAGGTTAAAATCAATTTATTAGTATCAGTAAAAAAGTACTATGATAAAAAAAATTAACAGTTGTTAGTTAATAACAGACACGCTGTGTGATCTCAATTCTAACTATATCAATACAAAAAAATTTTATAAGCATAAACTCATGTATTCGACAGCAGTTCACTCGCATCAACCAGCGCCTTATTATAACATAAAAAAACTCAATAACAATCGGAAATGCCTGGCCACTTCACGGTTCACACTTACCCTAATAACATAATAGTTCATGTCACCTAATAGTTTGAAATCGTCTTGTTTAGTTATAACGGCAGATCTTAGTTTTTGCTTCGCTATCAGCTTTATCCTGTTTCTGGACATCGTTTTGTGATCATCTTTAGCTCTATTATAAACCCATTTCTACGTAAAACCTTTACAGTCCTTGCTGCTCGCCTTCATTCCCGCAAGCATAAAACAACTAGAAAATCAAACGTCTCTATAAGCTAGTTGAGCAATAGCTAATTGTAGGTAGCTGAGTAGTACCTATTCTTGCTTACCTGAGCTGACAACGCTGGTTGTATTATAGCAGGAACCAAAGGTTTTCTAATCTTCCATTTGCATTATCCAGTCACTGCTGCCAGTCTCTCATATCATACCTCTGGTAGCTTACTGTATCCGCTTTACGTGCTCCTTCCTACTGCCAATGTTTGGTTGTCCAGTAATTGGGGTTATAGAGCTAGGTCAGTGGCATCCCTGGAAAGACCTAAGCGAGAACGTCATTTGCTGTTTTTGCGAAGACACCGAACAGAGCAGCGTACTGTTGCTAACGGCATTCGTCACTTTTGAGTATCTTCTTTTTGTCTCTGTGTAAGGTCTCTACGACGACAAAAAGGAAGTGCCTAAAAAAGTTTAGACAGAAAAGATTGCGAGGCAGGAAGGCAGGAACATGAATATTCATCTGAAGGCAAAGGGGACGGAGCGTCATATGAACAGTTCCACGTTAGCTAAGAGAGAAGGATCCTTTGAAAAGAAAAACAGACCGGAGGAAATTGCCTCTAAGAGAACTTCGACCGACTAAGAGAACCGACAAGGAATACTACAAATATAGACGAAAGCTAGTACTTTTCTCCTCGCCTTTGTATAGCTTTCGTCTGAGAGAATGCAAAGGACTCCCGTAAAAAGCGCCTTGACGGATTAGACGATAACTTGGTCCTAACCAGAGGTACGTTACGAATCTAACATCCCTACCGAAGCCTCTTTGTGCTCTTGATCGAGAACAAATATATTTTTCGAAGGTAATGGAAAATAGGGAGCTCAGGAGAGACCAGATGCATCTCACTCAAATGCAGGGCAGATGCAAATGTCACTGTATTTTCGTATAGGATCAATATATTATGCGTTCAGCGTTATTTCCTAGAAAAAGTTAGGGATGCATATTTCCTTCTTACGCTACACTGGAAAATAATAATTCTTTACTGACGTTCAAATTAGGCTGGAACTGAAATCGAATAAGTCATACTTGTAGATGAATGACGAGCTTACCCACACTAGCCATTACAACAACTACGGAAAATTTTGTGCCGTACCTCGTATTATTCTTTAAACTTTCAGTGTATTTTCAATGTACGCTTAGGTCTCAAGAGTCCTAAGCTCAAGAATTCCTAAAACACAACCTTTAACATCGATCACTACAAAGTGAAGCACAATATAAATACCAGTAGAAAAGTCGTTAATTAAATATAATATAATACTAATATTTCCTGCCGATTTTTGTACAGTCAGCATATCAACTCTTTCACTCAGCTTCTTGCATTGTTATCCTCAGGGAATAATGAAACTTGGAGGATTATGGTGACATATGTGTCGCGCTTGCATCTGCGTCTGGCATATTTTCGGAATACATAGTATGACATGCCCCATAAAGCTGTCAAAAAAAATTTCCAGCTGAAGTAGGCACGCATCTTTCTTCGGTCTCTATATGATGTAATTAATTAACTTTTGTTACAGCACTTAACTAGCCAAGCTGGAGCGAACTGAAAATTTTCGCCTACCTTTTTCGCATTCAGCCCTTAATCCTTCTAGCGTTTACCTCCTTCTTAACGCCGAGTGTGCTCCGTCAAGCGTACATTTACTGTCTGAGTGCGTTGGGTACCAGCGCCTTAAAGAAACACATGGCTATCTAGTTCGGAAAATTCCGATTTTGAGGTTTACACGACCCTATAGATACTGGATGAGGGCGGGGGTCACGCAAGTGAGGGAGAGACACAGCTGTATGCACAAAAAAATCTCGTTGTAACACAGGGCATTCGACTTCGTACAAAGACTGAAGGCGGTGCTACCGATGAAGTGGGCAAACATAATAGAACAATCTAATTTTAGCTAAATTATTTCCCTATTCATTATTTTCATAGTTACCACGTTAAAATTGTTTGCTGAGGTTGACGAAATCACGTTTTCGAGCACTGTCATATTATACTATAATAAAATAATTGTGATCTAACATATATATGTATATATAGCTGCTTGGCGAGATTGCATACAGTCAAACGTATCCTTCTCATCACATGGCTACTGAGTTTTGCTCAGCACCAACACATTAGAAAACCGATGATTCCGTGTTAAATGAGGGTAGTAATGCGTGCCTAGCGGCACTTTCGCACAACATCGGGTTTCTAAAACAAACAGACTAAAAAGCTGAAATATTAAATTGCATATTTATATCGCTCGTCCCACAAGCGGTCTTATTACTGTTTTTGTAATTATGTAAATGTAAAAACCTGAATTAAATGGTGAATACGGTCGAGTTCGAAAGAAAGACGAGATGAATTGTCCTAGCTCATGCGAAAAGAAACATCCAAACCTCTATTTTGCTTGGTCGAATTTCAAAGAAGACTACAGTCAGTGCATTGCTAACGGAGCGCTGCTGTCAACACAGACTGAAACCTTATCATGGAGAAACTTGAGAGGGCACGCGCATGCACCTCGCGGAAGCTACGCTTTCGTACAGACATACTGTTTGTGTTCACTGCACACGTTCTACCATTTTAGAAGCTTTCGATTCATTGATACATCGTTACCATTTAGTTATCGTATAATACCAAGAGCCTGTTTAGCCAGCTGAATAAAAACAAGGACAAATAGCGACCATGAACTACGTCTGAACTTCGAAGTCATTTTTAATCGATTCGCCCTGTGAAAATAAATAAAGACAATTAAAAAATATGACCGTTGATGCTGTCTAGCAGCGCCACCGCGGCAGGGCTCAGAAGAATTTTGAAGGTCTGAATCAAAAGGATTTAACTGACCCCTTCCAGTGAGTGACTTACAGACGTTTTTTGACGATAGATAGCGGAAAGATCTTGATAGAGCTATGACGCTCGACACGGGATTTTTATTTTTGTTCAACGGCGGCTGGGGAGCTGTTCACATGTGTACGCGCAGGTTCATATAACGAGCATGAAAAAGACAAGAATAAGCCGAACCAAATCGAGGCAGGTGCTTGGAATAACTTACTTATGCGAGCATAAGATAGAAAACTACTGTCGCTGGCCTTGTATATGTATGTATATGCAAGTACTCCAACGTAAAGCCGTATACAATCAGAGCTTTTTTAGTTCGTTCAGTGCCGTGAGAGGAAAAAGATGGTTCATAGATATTGCCAGAGTAATGACTTGTAGGCAGAGGGCCTGTAGCTTAGCCATACCATTTTAACTTGCTCCAAGCGCCTTTATGTAGATGTGGCATTAACGCAGGGTAAACTGGTTTAGGGCACGCCGCCAAGTGAGGTTTAACAAACCCAGATTCACTGTGATTTGTGTAGAAATTCAATAATCTTTGTGTGTGCTAAGGTTGACCTTGGATCATTATGAAGTGTTATTATTGTTTGTAAGATCGGGTTTGACCAAGGTAATGGAAAGGTAGAAATGACATCGACTCTTAATTTACCCACACAAAAATAAAGATAATCTGCGCAGGATCACCACACAGTTCATAATCGGTATCTTTCGCTAAATACGACACTACCTCTGTTGCGTATTATTCGTATGTTTTTATTGAGAAGGAGAACCAAAAAAAGACATAAAATTATGCAGCGAAGATCGACAGGAGCTGTATAAGGCATAGGAAAATTGATTGCCAGGCGCTAGAATTAAATCCGCTACAGATATATCTGGTCATTTTTATAACCACTTTTAAATAAATACGAATAGTACTGGCTATCATTTCTTAATAACGACAGTAGACATACTGCTAAATGTCGCTAAGCTTAATAGTAATTACATATATGTAAGCCAGAATTTTTCAAATCCACTGAGCACCGCTTTCTTATTTGCTGGTATTGAATCAGTGAACATAAGATATAATACTCATACATAGCAGTGACGACGGAAAGAAAAATCACCCCATTGGGCTTGCCCGTGAAATATTTACCACCGACGACTTTGATATCACAGTCACATACTTGAAGGCTGCAGTTTGATCGCATAGAGACATATTTTGTACGTAGTGGGAGTAAGGTTGGACGCTCGCAGGTCTTACGAAGACCGCACAGTTTACCCGCGGATGTGCTCGTAAGCAATGCTCCTTCTGTTTTCTTAGTCCTAGAATATGTGACGATGGCGACAACAACGAGAAAATAATTTTGAACAAGCATAGCCGCTGTCTCTGTTCGTTCGTCGTGCATTACCTGTTTCGCTTGATCCGCAGTTGCGACTGATGCAGACTGTAATATTGCTCATGTGAATCTAAGATGCGTTCTCTGGCATCGACTACTGCAAGCGACCAAGAACGAGGTCCGTCTCTTGTCGTCACAGGTAACAATCTTGGAAAACGCGGTGATTTCCCCGAGGAGCCGGGTGTGCCATTTCCAACAGCAGCGGCCGTCTGTAGTTGTTGCTGCACTCGTCGCGGATTTGGTTGTCTTTACCTCTCGTCGGACCTAGGGGTTTCGTTCCGTCAATTGTATAATTCATTTGATCAGAACTCGTAGAGGGGGCCTGTATCGCGATATTTGTACAGGCCAGCTAGAGCAAGTACAGTTAGACATGCATTCGGCAACTCGGTTTAAGTTACGGTTTGTAATTGGACGCTTTCTTTTCTCGCTATGCTCGACATCGTATAGACAATGATAGATGGGCGATAGAACCAGGCGCGTGGGTCACTGGCCCCTTGCCGAGACAGAGGAATGGACAGCGAAATGATTCACTAAGCGGGGGAGCTAACGTACAGTTCTTCCACCCGGACGTTGTGGGGGTTAATAGAGCAGCATGAGCTTAGTTCAAGTGAAATCAGTTCGTAGGCCAAGTACTCAGCAAAGAAAGGACTGCGAGGTAAGAACAAGTAGACGGGAGAACGAGAGAAAAATAGAGGAAGATATGGCGGATTGACGTGGTGTACGCACTATGCCGGTAAATTACCCAATAAACGGGCTAACTATCAGTGAATATTTATATGAATACCAACTATTCACGTTAACTAGCTGCAGACGGCAATGCTGGCGCTAATATAGAATTACGTTAGCGGGTTGTAATGAGTCATCATTACTGTCTCGATGTGGCGGAAAGAATAAATAGCAAACTGCATGCAATACTCGGCGTCGGCAATGCGGGCATAGGAGATGGCAGTGAGGAATACGATGGCCAGAAGCCTAGAACAAGGAGCATTCTTGCAATTTTAATCTGATAAGGAAATACGGGGAACTGAGGGAATTCCCCGTCGCAACACAGTGAGTAACGTGTTTGCCGTCTATTATTTAAACACATATGGTGGTCTACTTTCGAATTCGGACATAGACATACGGTTCATTTCGTATTGGGAGCCAGCCGTCTGTTCGATGAAATGCGCCGGACGGGAAACGCAAAACATTTTAGTTTAGGACCAAGAGGGCAATGTTTGCTTTTCTTACATTCTATTTCACAGAGGCCAGACACTTAACAGCTGCAGACAACTATGATGAGTAGAATGCAAACGAGCATCGCACTATGTTACGGTTTTAAATGATACAGGCAGCAGAGTTTGATTGGCTATTGGCAAATAGACTTTTTCGAAATAATTTTGCAGGTAAAGGCTTTTTTAAAGGTAATAAATAAACTTTTGCAGAACAGCATGAGGCGGTAACGCTTAAAATATAACACCTTCCACCACCGTATTTTTAGCGGCCGTTGGCTGTAGAAGCAGTGGCCGCGGTGCAAGCTGGAGCTATTTGCATATAAAAATTCATGCACATTTTACAGTCTAATAAGTGAAGATCAAATCGAAGAGCGAACCTGACGGGTACACTGTGCGCGGCTTTTTATCGTCACGCTCGAATTGTTGGTAGCGTTGTTGGACATGCAACCCAGACAACATGTAGGAACTGTGATCGCAAATTTAAACCATATTCTTGAAGACACTATCTTGCAGTATCTTCCTGCAGCTGGGCATACAAGTGCAACACCAATTGCGATGCTTTACAGTGTCGCTCAGGATCTATTTATCGTAGATGGAACAACTGATTCGAGTTCAACGTCGTGTCATTCTCGCGCTCCAGCATCCAGATGCTGAATATTAAACCGGCACTATTATTATGACCTTACTTTAGGCTAGCAGCGCGCTAGTGTGGGCAAAACAGACACGCGTCCACCCTGAAACCTTTCAGCATTTCGGAATCCGCTCTGAGGCAATTGCTTTGAAATTCGCAATTATTATTGTTGTTGTTGTTTTTTTCGGAGAACGTTCACTCGCTAACCTCCCGAGCGCCCTCTAGGGGCCTATTGCTGGAATTGCATACGGCCGCTGACTGACTTGCTTGAGCCTTTGATTTATACAAAACGAGAACGTCTTGTCTAGCTCTAACGTTTCGATCGATTCACTACTGGCTCCTGCGCTCGGATCAGCTCACCATTTCTTCGTATCCGACCGATAAGCTATTCCACAGCTGCTATAACAAGCGTATCTATCGATAGATAACCGCATACACACACTAACAGTAGCTGCCGGCGGATAT